CCTAAACCCTAAACCCTAAACCCTAAACCCTAAACCCTAAACCCTAAACCCTAAGCCCTAAGCCCTAAACCCTAAACCCTAAACCCTAAACCCTAAACCCTAAACCCTAAACCCTAAACCCTAAACCCTAACCCGACGCAGCGTAGTACGGCACGCGCCTCGAGCGCCATCATGCCCCGCACGCACGCTCCGAGCTGCTTCAGGATGGGTCCTGGCAGCAGCCAGCCAGATTCATCGTGAAAGAAACCTCACCTCGTCTAACACTTGAAAGTGCAGCACCAGGCCTGAACTCCCCTAAACCCTAAACCCTAAACCCTAAACCCTAGACCCGAAACCCTAAACCCTAAACCCTAAACAAGGTGATGGATTGAGCCGGAGCAGGCATCAAATGGGGTGCAGATGCCACGAGGGCTCCCAAACGAGTAGAGCCCTCGAGTAGCTTCAACGGCGCACCGTGCCACCGTGAAGCAGCGGGGCGAGGGCTGAGGTTGGGATGTTCCCCCTTATACTACAAGTAGGGTTTAGGGTTTAGGGTTTAGGGTTTAGGGTTTAGGGTTTAGGGTTTCGGGTTTAGGGATAGTATACGAACAGCCCTTAATAGGGATTCTCGTACCCCCTCTTCTAATCCTTGTTAAGGACTGCTAGTATAAGGGGGAACATGCCAAGGCTGAGGGCTTAATGAAAAGACTAGCATGGCCCTTAACAGCCCTCGGAAAAACAGTTCCGAAATATTAGGGTTTAGGGTTTAGGGTTTAGGGTTTAGGGTTTAGGGTTTAGGGTTTAGGGTTTAGGGTTTAGAGTTTTAAACCCAAGAGGGGAAAACATAAACATGTCCCAAGGCCTACCTAGAAGACTTTTTGACACGATTTGCTTAAGAACCCCCAAAACAATGAAGGATAATAATCCCTCTTTTGCTCTTGTAAGGATCAATATGCTACTTTTTAGGGGGGTTCTTAAGCAATTGCTAGTATTCATGAACCCCTCCCTGCCTCCGGACTCTTCCACGATCACAGCCAGGTGCGAGGTAAACACCTGGCCTGAACGACGGTTTACAGGGGGTTTAGGGTTTCGGGCTTAGGGTTTTGGAGACGCTCCGCGTCAGCTCTGCAAACTCGTGTGCGCACGCCGACATCGCTGAACGCCACCCCAGAACGTTTGTGTGGCTTTCGGCCTGCAGCAGTGTCGCGGGCCGGAGCTAGCAAGTGAGATGCCAAGGCTGCAAGGAGGTACCTGGCAGACTCTTCATAGATACCATGCCATAGTCGGAATGGCAGTGGGCACTAGCAGCCAGACGAGACAGCTGCAAAAGCAACATTCAAAACACCTCTTGTCCTGCTTCCTTTTCGCTCGAGCACTGCGCCACTGGAACGAAGTTTCGGTAGACTATTCCTTGGGGACTAAATGAACCCAAAAAGGGTTTGAGGTTCATATGCCTCAAGAGGGATCATAACGGCATTGGGTCAACCCTCGACCTTAAATCCCAATTCTAGGGCTCATTTGGTCCTCAAAGTTTAGGAGGCAAGCTTTGCTCGACGCTTGCACGACTCGCTCCGCCAGCGCGCGAAGAAACGCGGCTGCAAGGAGCTAATACGGGGCCTTGACAATTATAACAGGGTTTTTTGGGGGGGTTTAGGGCATAACTATATAGAGACCATAAGTGGTAGTTCTTCCGACCCCTATTTTACTCCTCAACCCCAAACACTATATAATCTATGCAAACCTTAAGTGCACCCCCTACAAGCACTTACATATCTTAAACCCTGCACCCAATATACTAGACTCGAACCCTGACCTGGGTTTAGGCTTTAGGGCCTATAGGGTTTTAGGGCCTAGGGCTTAGGGCTTAGGGCTTGGGGCTTAGGGTTTAGGGTTTAGGGTTTAGGGTTTAGGGTTTAGGGTTTAGGGTTTAGGGTTTAGGGTTTAGGGTTTAGGGTTTAGGGTTTAGGGTTTAGGGTTTAGGGTTTAGGGTTCAGGGTTCAGGGTTTAGGGCAGGGTTCAGGGTTTAGGGCTTAGAGTTTGGGGTAACCCGATAGTCCATTGTTAGATATGTTTTGGGTCCACTGGGGGCCATGGGCTTCCTTGTTGTTGCCAGGCACGAGGTGCAGAGGGCACCCTAAACCCTAAACCCTAAACCCTAAACCCTAAACCCTAAACCCTAAACCCTAAACCCTAAACCCTAAACCCTAAACCCTAGACCCTAAACCCTAAACCCTAAACCCTAAACCCTAAACCCTAAGTTTAAGAGTTTGAGGGGCTTCGGGGATCTTTCGGGGGCTTGGAGTTCGCGGCTTGCCTATCACTGTTCGCACACTGAGGCTTTCGGCAGATTGCTGCGCTGCAACTCCCGAATCACGTGGGCTGTGCTTTTTTTAAACAGTTGTGCATTGCAGCATCACGCCATCTGGGCTCAAAACTCGAGACGCAGTAGTAGAATCGGGTTGATTTGGGTTTAGGGTTTAGGGTTTCGGGTCTAGTAGAAGAGAATCACCGCAACTACTATTTGCTTCAGAACCACCCCAAAGAATTAAGGATAATAATCCCGTTAATGCCCTTACAAGCAGGTTCTTTGCTTTTCATTTGTGGGCTTGAACAAATGGGAGATAATTAAACCCCACCACATGCCTGCCCTAAACCACGAACACAATACCCAAGCGTGAACGTCAGTCCTTTGTTTGGGGTAAACAGGTTCGGGGGATTCAGGCCTTCGAAAAGCTACTTGGAGGTTATGGGCATTTGTCAGTAGGGCTATACATACCCCAAACAAGGTCGTAACCATAGTTACCTCACGTTTAACCCGACTTATATAAGTACCCATGAACCTCCCAAGTACGGTTCTTAGGGTTACCACATTCTCCGGCGTGTCTGCCGCAGCCAAGATGGGCGTGCTCCACCATCACTCTCACTTTGCTGTCCTGACATGCGGAGGGGACTCCAAAAACCTAAACTTGGAATATATATTGAAACTGATTTGCTTTTTGTCATTCCATGATTCAAATGGTAAGAAATATTCAGTATGTAGTAATACTTAAAAGCAATCTTAAGAATTGTGTTTATTCATTTTTCTTCATATACATATGTGTATATATATATATATACATATGCAAATGTGTATATATATACACATATATATCGTGCTTTGAAACAATATGTTTTGGCCATACATCCCCTCCAACTTCACTTAGCAACCAGGGAACTTATGGCATAACGGTGTAGGCGAGAGTTTCGGATGAGTTCGGACTTTGGAGGATATTGGGCGCTACCTAGTAAATGTCATTGAATTAGGTGCACAATACGTGTCCTGCAGAGAAAGCTCCTTCAGCCCTACACCGCATATCACAATCCCATAAGCCCTTCCCCAAACCCCAAACCCTAAAAACCTTAAATGTGCAAACCCGTTCGTCCCTAACGAAGGCCATACTCCCTCATGACACCCTAAACTAAACACCTACAAGCCCTAAAGTTCTTAAAGGCTCTGAAGACCTAAATGTCCCAACAGCCCTAGGCCCAAACACCCTACAGCCCGAAGACCCCTAAACCCTTTCAACCCTCCACCTCCTAACGGCCCTACGCAGGCCTTTTAGCACCCACACCCACAGCACCCTCTGAAAAAACACGCCGCCAGCACCAACTCTGCACAATTGCCCATACTTCTATCCGAAACCCCTGGCGACTAACCCCTAACCCTAAACCTCCTAATTCCTAAACCCTTAACCCTCAACCCTATGCGCCCGTTAAAGCCAATGAAGCCCATCAAGCCCCAAGCCTTCAAAAAGCCCAAACCCCTTGCACCCCTTGAAGCCTTACCCTAAACCCTAAACCCTAAACCCATAAGACGACTGAAGCCAACAACCACAAACCATAAGCCCTAAGCCCGAGACCCGGAGCTTGGGATGTATCCCCTTATACTAACAGTCCTTAGTAGGGATTATAGTACCCCCTGTTATAATCCCTCTGAAGGATTGTTAGGGTAAGGGGCAACATCCCCCACCGGAACCCATCAATCCTTAACCCTACTGCCTCCAAGCTCAGTTGAAGTTTTCGCGGCGAGCCCTGTGAGGAAGCGCCAGTTGAGTTTAGGGTTTAGGGTTCTATTGGGCTAGAGTTCAGGTGCTATTGGGGTTTAGGAGCTTTTTGGGGTTTAGGGTTTGTGGGTTCATGGGTTCGGGGCTTCAAGGGGATTAGGGCTTAGAGGGTTTAGGGTTTAGGGTTCAGAGTTTAGGGGATGTATGGATAGATTCTAGGGTTAGGGCAAGTGTAGGCCGTAGGGCTTTAAAGATTGATTTAGGGATTCAGGATTTACGAGACAGACTGCAGAACACGACGGCGCGGTGCCGGCAAGACACTCTGCAAGCACGGGGGGACGAGGAGCGGGGGGGGGAGTGGGAGCATATCCGGCCCATCTCCTTCCGTAAGTTCACGTTTCCGAAAAGACAATGTGGGCCTCGACAATAAAAGCTACTATAGGGTACCCAATGATAGCTTACGCCGCCACAGAACGGCATAAAGCCCAAGGGACCATGTTTAACTCAGAGGACTTATACCGCATGCCTGCAAGAACCCCCTTCACTTCTGGGCTCAGGGTTTGCAGGGTTGAGGGATAGGGTTTAGGGTTTAGGGTTTAGGGTTTAGGATTTAGGGTTTAGGGTTTAGGGTTTAGGGTTTGGGGTTTGGGGTTTAGGGTTTAGGGCTTAGGGTTTAGGACATTAGTATGTTTAGGGTTTAGGCCTTGGCGGCGGGCTCCGTGAGTAAGACCTCGACGAGCTGGGCCGTCGCCTTCTCGGGTTCTCGCGCTCATGCCTGGAAACGATGTGCAACTCTTAGTTGCACCTAAAACCTAAGCCCTAAACCCTAAACTAAGAACTGCTACAACGGCTGGAGTTGTACACTTGCCCCTACTTGGAGGTTCCTGGTTACTTACAAGTGGGGTTATAAGTGGGTTGACTATGGTGATAACCTTCTTTGGGGGACTTCTAACGCTACTTACCAGTGCCTATGAACCTTCAAGTAGTGGAGTTGGAAGCAGGGGGGCGCTTGAGATGAAGGCTCTCAGCAACAAGCGGCCTCATGAAGAGCTCGCGAGCTGTGAGGTGCTTATTGCCGCCGTTGCTGATGTCGTCACCTCGGGTGTCCCCCCCGAAGCGATCACCTCCTTTGCCTCCTTTGCCCTTGCCCCTGTCGTCTCGGCGATCATCTCGGCGGTCATCTCGGCGGTCGTAATCCCGGCGGTCATCGCGGCGGTCATCACGACGGTCATAGTCCCGGCGGTCGTCTCGGCGGTCATCTCGGCGGTCATCCCGTCGGTCATAGCCCCCACGGCGATCATCCCGATCATAGCCGCGCCCGCCGCCCCCGCCACCCCCGCCGCCCTCCACGGACACGTTCACAGCTCGCATCTTGCCTTTGCGATCGTCGTACTCTGCATCGAAGCGGACTTTGTCTCCCTTGCCCAGGCCCTTGCATCCTTGAAGACAGGAAGAGTGGCAGAACAAATCCTCGCTGCCATCATCTGGTCCTGCGCGAAGGGAAGTGCAAATACCTTATGCTGCCAACAGCCTGGAAACCAAGAACATGCAAGCGGTGCCTATGAAGCCAAAGCCCTTGTCGTCCATCCAGTTCTTCACAACGCCTGACTTCGACATGTCTCCTGTGCAGGTTTGTAGGGTTTAGGGTTTAGGGTTTAGGGTTTAGGGTTTAGGGTTTAGGGTTTAGGGTTTAGGGTTTAGGGTTTAGGGTTTAGGGTTTAGGGATTAGGGTTTAGGGTTTAGGGTTTAGGGTTTAGGGTAACCCTAAAACCTAAACCCTAAACCCTAAACCCTCTCTTCCAACTGCAGCCCTCACGACACACCGTCCTGACAGCGCCGCGCCCAGGCACGCAAACTCTCTCCCCCCCCGGTCCCGCAGCCCCCTTGATGCTGGAACTGATAGGAGCAAGAGAAGGCGCAGCACGGCCCACCCCTGAAGCCTACCTGGGACTCTATTTACCTACAGTTTAGTAGTTCTCGCTGTGTGCATGCTTGGAAATACTGCACCCGGAGGCAACCTCAGAACCCCCAAACACCTCTGGAATTGCTGTTCAGCCCACGCCTGAGGCTGCGTCTACGAAACTCCACCACAACAGCAACACCCACCGTAAACCCTAAACCCTATAATCCCTAAACCCTAAACCCTAATCTAAGCCCTAAACCCTAAACCTTAAATCCTATAACCCCAAAACCCTCAACACTAAGGTGAATTGCCACACTTTTTTTCTTCGCTGGCCAGGGCTGTACGTCTTCTGCCGATCAAGCAAAGTTGTCTCGCCGGACCCTGCGTGCAAAGTGGCGTGCACGACACAGTTGACAATAAATGATGTGATATGATGTGATGTGATGTGATGTGATATGAAAACTTATATCCATGTGTACACACACACACGTATATATATATATATATATATATATATACATGTGCAATACGCACGCATGTATATGTATATGTATGTGTATATGTATATGTATATGTATATGTATATGTATATGTATATGTATATGTATATGTATATGTATATGTATATGTATATGTATATGTATATGTATATGTATATGTATATGTATAAGTAAATAAATAAATAAATAAACAAATAAATAAATAAATGTATATTTATGTATTTAAATATAGTATACTCCTATATTAACTTCTTATAAATTCTAGCATGTTATAGCAGAGCAGAGTGGAGTAGAGTAGCGTAGAGAAGAGAAGAGAAGAGTAGAGAAGTGGAGTAGAGTAGCTACAGTACTTGTAGTACAGGTAGGAGGTCTTGTTCTTGATACCAGTACTAGTATTAGTAGCAGGATGAGTATTAGTTAGCATTCGTATCAGTACGAATATTCTAGTACTACTATTCATACTCGTACTAGTGAGTACTTGTATAGATGCATGTATAAACACAAGTAGAAGTAGAAGCATATGGGTGGTTGTCAAAATTGCGGTCCCTTTTTGGATCCCTATTATAATACGGCACCTAATTTAGGGTACCCCAGAAGGGATCATAATCAGCCACCCATATACAAGCGGAGCGCTTCATGGCGGCAGTGGCGTGCTTGGGAGATTTTTCTGGCAGAACACGTGGCTTCAAGGGTCTCCTGTGTTTCTTTTCAATCCTGCCGGCCGACGACGAAGATATCAATTTGGCAGGGCCTGTAGGGTTTTGGGGTTTTGGGTTTAACTGGGTTTAGGGGTCAGAACCCGAAGCCCAAGAGCGAAGAACCGAACATGCTGGATGCCCTGCTCAAGCCGGTGATTTATCTGCGGCCGGGAGGCTCCATTAAGATCCTGAGCTGCCACTTGCCCAGATGCGCAAAGTCGGCAACGCTACGCAACTTCTCTGCGCACAGGGGTTCACTTCAACGGATCCAAAACGCAGACACACCAAGGCCCAAGAGGCTCGCCGAAGAGTTTAGGGGTGAGTTTGCTGGTTCGGGGTCCAACATCCAAAGACCCCTGCACCCCGAACCCATGAGGATGAAGAGGGTTTCCCGCATTTGGAGTGCGAAGCAGGGGGGGACTCATACAAAGGTAGTCATTCTCATTCTCTCACTCCTCACTCCTCACTCCTCACTCCTCACTCCTCACTCCTCACTCCTCACTCCTCACTCCGCAGTCTACACTCCTCACTCACTCCTCACAGTCGCTTTCTATCTCTCTCCCTCTTTCTCACACTCACACTCTCTCTCTCCCTCTCTCTCTCTCTCTCTCTCTCTCTCTCCCTCTTTGCCTCCACCCACAGGATTTAGGGCCCAGCGTGTTGCGGAAGCACTTTGGGCGCTTCATGTCTGCACATCCGCAGGCAGGGTCTCTTTGGGGGTTCAGGACTCGCACCCATGTGTCTTGCGCAAAACCCTAAACCCTAAACCCCTGCCCTTAATGTGGTCCCCTACCTTCTTAGGGTTTAGGGTTTAGGGTTTAGGGTTTAGGGTTTAGGGTTTAGGGTTTAGGGTTTAGGGTTTAGGGTTTAGGGGCAGCTGACTGAGCCAAGTCTCGTGGTATTCGAGACCATCTCGTTAGCAAAGGCTGGCGGTTGTTGTGGAAAGGCCTTCCGGATGACCTCACACGTGGAAAGCCCAGAATCGATGCTTTAAGGGGTTTAGGGCTTAGGGTTTAGGGTTTAGGGTCCCAGAATTAAGGGTACCTTTTTTAGTCCCTTGACAGAATCGTTGCAGCAGAGACCTAACATGGTTTGAGCTTTGACTTTGGGGTTTCCGCGAAACTGAACCCTGAACCCTAATCGGGCTAACGCGGTAAACGGCTCCAAAGGACCGCGTGAACCTCCATCGCAGCAATACCCCGGAATCTTCAGGTTTAGGTTCTTGGGGTTTAGAGTACAGTTCACCTTTTTCATCCCCTAAACTCTGCCCTAAGCCCTAAACCCTAAGCCCTAAACCCTAAACCCTAAACCCCAAACCCTAAACCCTGAACCCTAAAATGCTAAACCCTAAAGCTCAAGGGGCCTTCTGCAGCCTGGTGTAGTACAGCAGCAGCTGCGTCAGGACCTCCAAAACGCACGACTCCCACTTAAGACCACGAGGTTGAAGCCCACGCTGCTCGGAGTTTGCGGTTTGGGGTTTTGGGGTTTTTGGGGTTCTGGGGTTTTGGGGTTTTGGGGTTTTGGGGTTTTGGGGTTTTGGGGTTTTGGGGTTTTGGCGATGCCATCTGCCAACGAGGCGTGAAGCTCTGGTCGCCTCTTTCCCCGCTCCCTTTGCAGGGTCCCCCCTTAATTCCGCTTACCTACCCTTCCTTAGAAATCTGCGGGAGCGAGCATTCGACCTTTTTTCACTGCCGTGGGGCACCATCGGCATCCCGTGGGCGACGCCAAGAACTACGGACACGCTGAAGAACCGAAGACCAAGTCTGTCTGTTTCAAGCTCTACAGCAACCTAACCCTCGAAGGACAAAAGGGGGTACCACCAGAAACCCTAAACAATCACAAAATCCTAAGCCCTAAAACCCTAAACCCTAAACCCTAAACCCTAAACCCTGAACCCTGAACCCTAAACTCTAAACCCTAAACCCTAAGCCCTAAACCCTAAACCCTAAATCCCAAGCCCTAAGCCCCTATTGGGCCCTGAACTCGGGATCAGGAGGCCTGCTTCAGGATCTCCATGCCTGGGCTGTTCATGGTTAGCGTTTAAGGTTTACGGTTTAGGGTTTAGGGTTTAGGGTTTAGGGTTTAGGGTTTAGGGTTTAGGGTTTAAGGTTTAGGGTTTGAGGTTTGGGGTTTGGGGTTTGGGGTTTAGGGTTTAAGGCTTACGGTTTCGGGTTTAGAAGCTCCCAATAAAGCCTTTTTTAAACCCCTCTTAAGGGTGGTTGCATGGTCTCTCAATATGGTCCCCTTACCGTCTGTAGAGGGTTCTAGATCATGGGCCCTTGGGTTGTTTCGGGTACATAGGTTCCCCATTTAAGGGCCCATGCTAAGGGAAACTCCCAGACCGAAACCCTTTTGAGGACCCCCAAGGCAAGAGGTCCTAACCCTCCGAAGCCCCCACTACACTCTCTTACAACTAGAGTAAACCCGAAAACCCAAAGACCCCCAACCCTCGAAACTTCTGCCTTCCAATCCCAAAGCACTCTAGGAAATTCAGGGTTCAGGGTGCAGGGTTTGGGGTTGAAAGAGTAAAGTTGAGGGTTTAAGGTTTTGGGTTTTGGGTTTAGGGTTTAGGGTTTAGGGTTGAGGGTTTAGGGTTTAGGGTTTAGGGTTTCGGGTTTAGGGTTTAGGGTTTCGGGTTTAGGGTTTAGGGTTTAGGGTTGAGGGTTGAGGGTTGAGGGTTGAGGGTTGAGGGTTTAGGGTTTAGGGTTTAGGGTTTAGGGTTTAGGGTTTGGGGTATGTCCATTGCTGTCCCGTGTGCCGTTGGAGAAGTTGCTGAAAGAGACCATGACGTACTGGTGGATCTGGTCCCTCTCCTGCACAGGGAAGGCTCTTGGCTTGGGGAAACCTTTCAAGAACGCTAAACCCTAAACCCTAAACCCTAAACCCTGAACCCTAAACCCTAAACCCTAAACCCTAAACCCTAAACCCTAAACCCTAAACCCTAAACCCTAAACCCTAAACCCTAAACCCTAACCCGTTACTAAACCCCAAACCCTAAGGCCAGCTGCAAAGGCCAGCTGCAAGCTGGATACTCAACGCCCACTCTGGCCCTCCAGTTCTCCGCAAAACCCCCAATCCCAAACGCCTAACCGAAATAAGCCCGAAAAACCTCTAAATCCTAAACCCTAAACCCTAAACCCTAAACCCTACACCCTAAACCCTAAACCCTAAACCCTTTAAGGTCTCAACTGTAGACTTGTCGTCCTCGCACCCGAGACCCTAACCCCTAAACCCCAGCCACACATTCCCAAAACACACTTTCTACTTGGAGGTCATGGGTACTTCGGGGTCCTAAACCCTAAACCCTAAACCCTACAAGGGACTCTGGTTGGAGGTTCATGGGTACTTCTAAGCAGGGCTAGAAGTAAAGCAGCTCTAGTTAGTAGCTATAGCGGGCTATATTTGGTCATGACACTATCTAAGGCATCTAAGGTACTCCCTATACCGTAGCCCCCTAAACCCTAAACCCTAAACCCTAAACCCTAAACCCTAAAACCCTGAACCCGAAACCCTAAACCCTAAACCCTAAACCCATGCCTGTTCACAGTTTGGCCCTCCCTTCCCCGGGGCACCCTCTTCCAATTCGCGGCGAAGTTACGGACCACCTGCCAGGGGGGGGGGGGGGGTTTAGGGTTTAGGGTTTAGGGTTTGAGGGTTTAAAGGGTTTAGAGGGATTAGAGGGTTTGGAGGGTTTGGAGGGTTTAGAGGGTTTAGAGGGTTTAGAGGGTTTAGAGGGTTTGGAGGGTTTAGAGGGTTTAGCGGGTTTAGAGGGTTCAGAGGGTTTGGGGCTTATGGTTTAGGGTTTAGGGCATAGGCGGTTTAGCGTTTAGGGTTTAAGGGTGCAAGGAGTTCAGAGCATAGGCAGTTTAGGGTTCAGGGCTTGGGGCTTAAAATTGTTGGGCGCAAAGAAGGCTGCGGATTGTAAGGCGTAAATTTGTTGGCGCTTCTAGGGTGGCTTGTGGGAGACCAGGAAGGCAGTGCATGCAAGTGTTCAGGACACACATGGCCCCTCTCGCAAGTGGATTCCAGGGCTCTAGAGTTTAGGGTTTAGGGTTTAGGGTTTAGGGTTTAGGGTTTAGGGTTTAGGGTTTAGGGTTTAGGGTTTAGGGTTCAGGGCTGGGCTTACAGAGCTTAGAGCGCCTACGGCTTAGGGAACTCAAGCCCGAACGGACGAAGTCGCCTGCTCCATCTTCTGCACATCCACACCTCCGGCAGGTTTCCCCGATGGATGGGCGGCTGGTGCAGGGTTTAGGGTTTTAGGGTTTAGAGTTTAGAGTTGTTAGGGTTTAGGGTTTAGGGTTTAGGGTTTAGGGTTTAGGGTTTAGGGTTTAGGGTTTAGGGTTTAGGGTTTAGGGTTTAGGGTTTAGGGTTTAGGGTTTAGGGTTTAGGTTTAGGGTTTGATGCACTTCCTTCGTCTGTCGCTGTGGGTTGCTACGTGTAGGAGCCTCGCACAGCTGCCAGTGAGCTTGCAACCCAAGGCTGTTTGCTACAGTCACCCCTAAACCCTAAACCCTGAACCATGCGTTCACAGGAATCAGACCCAAGGTAGCAACTTGAGGGGCCATCAGAGCGTGCCTACCTGGGGATTACGGACATCGAGCCCTACTTCCGAAAGCGGACTCCATAGCCCTCAGAGAACCTCGTGCTCATGAACATGCCGGACTTCGTACTCAGCACCTCTAGAGGGGGAGGGGGTGGGGGTTGTCCTAAACTAAGGTGCGCTGAGATGATATCCGTGAAAGCTAGACTTCCGCATGAAGAGGTCCTTACGAAGACATATCAACTTGGAGCAACCCCCTCCCCCCTTTTGCAGTTTAAGGGTACGCTCCCTGCTGAATGCGGGACTTGGGAGCCCCTGAAGCCCTGAACTCCAAAACCCTGACCTACGCACCCTAAACCCCCTGAACCCTAACACCCGCAACAGCTATAGAACTCGACGCCCGTGAACTCAGTGCCTGGGGGTGGCGACTGGCTCGGTTGCGAGCGTGCGGTTGTCTGGCCCAGGGACCAGCGGCGGGGCTTATGCTTTCAATGAGTACTTGGCTTGGGGTTTAGGGTTTAGGGTTTAGGGTTTAGGGTTTAGGGTTTAGGGTTTAGGGTTTAGGGTTTAGGGTTTAGGGTTTAGGGTTTAGGGTTTAGGGTTTTAGTGTTTAGGGTTTAGGGTTTAGGGTTTAGGGTTTAGGGTTTAGGGTTTAGGGTTTAGGGTTTAGGGTTTAGGGTTTAGGGTTTAGGGTTTAGGGTTTAGGGTTTAGGGTTTAGGGTTTAGGGTTTAGGGTTTAGGGTTAGGTTTAGGGTTTAGGGTTTAGGGTTTAGGGTTTAGGGTTTAGGGTTTAGGGTTTAGGGTTTAGGGTTTAGGGTTTAGGGTTTAGGGTTTAGGGTTTAGGGTTTAGGGTTTAGGGTTTGGTAGCCGAGTAACCAGAACAATAACAAGGGTATCCTTTTTTGGGGGCTGGGTACCTTCTTAGTAGGGCACCAAGGGGCAAAAGGGTGCCCCCTGGGCTACCAAGTATAGAACATGTTCGTATCGGTTTGAGTTTAGGGGTGTGGGGTTTGGCTCTGCGGTTCTCCAAAACCCAGTGAGGGCCAATCCCGCAAGTTCAGGGAACCAAGCCTCGTACCCAAAGGCTGCTACCCCTGACGTCCTAGTCTCGAACTCTACACACGTGATGGCCCCTACCTATACTCTTAGGGTCCGAAGAAGGAACCCATTGGAAAGCCCGACCCTCAAGCCTACCCTCGAAAACCTTAAAGCTTGAAACAGGGTCCTCGTCAATGTTCGCCACGGCCTCGGTTTCCATTTCACAGAAGATCGAAGGCAGGAGCATTCTTTGGTCTGGGGGCCAACAGCCCCCAAATTCCTAAACAAAGCCCTAGACCCTCCCACGTACACCATAATGCGTGTAGGGGGTCGGATAAGGCTTAGGGCAACCCCAGCCAAAACAACGTACGAAGCCTCTATCGGGAGGGGAAGGTAGGCTGTCCTTTCAAGATTTGGTGCCATCTGAGGCCTGAGCCGGCTCCGTGTTCTTCACAAACCTCAGAGAGAGAGAGAGAGAGAGAGAGAGAGAGAGAGAGAGAGAGAGAGAAAGAGAGGGAGGGAGGGAGGGAGGGAGGAGGGAGGGAGGAGGGAGGGGAGGGAGGGAGGGAGGGAGGGAGAGAAAGAGAGCGAGAGAGAGAGGAAGAGAGGAAGAGAGGAAGAGAGCAAGAGAGAAAGAGAGAAAGAGAGAAAGAGAGAAAGAGAGAAAGAGAGAAAGAGAGAAAGAGAGACGGAGAGCGAGCGGCCCAATCACCTCTAAAACATCTTTGCTTGTAAGGTCTGCGGTTTAAGAGTTAGGGTTGCAAGTTAACGTCTTGGCAAAACAATGTAGATCCACAAATGAGTAAATCCTGAAAACAAGCTGACAAACCTGCCGGAAATAGCCTCCACTCCACAACGATACGGGGCTCAGCACAGGGCGCCCTGCACCATGCGTAGGCCGATTAATGTCAGGGGGCTGGGTTATGTAACAGTCAGGTTTGGGGCAGGATTACAAGTCAGGTTTTGGACAGGCCCTCGCCAGTCGGAGCAGTGATGGGTTCTCAGCGCGAGGCATCACGAGCTCCGGGAAATGGCTCATCAGCTGGCTTTCGACCTCAGCAAGCTTGGGGTTTCAGGGGTTCGGGCTTTACAATTCAGGGTGGCATCCGAGCTGCGGAACGAATGCCTGAGAGTTGCTTCAGGGCCCCAGCAAACTTCTGCACCTGGTTGCGCAAGAGGTCCTGAACGAAGCCGCTGAGACAGCGAAGGGTTGTAGGGCTTTTGGGCATGAATGCAAGGGGATTTAGGGCTTTCGACTTTCAAGCAACTTCAGGCGCTGAACCGAGCAAAAGGGTCACGTCCTCAAACACCTCCGTGGCATTCCGGGGAAGGTGGCGCTCGTGGAACACGGTCAGCACCTAGGCCCAGCAAGGCCACCCATAATATGGGCATTTCCCAAAATAGGGGTACCCCTTTTATACCCCCACATAGAATAGAATTCCCTTAAAGCGACCCGGCCAAAAAGGGTTTAGGGTTTAGGGCTCCTCCCTGAAGGGCCTTATGGGGGTTTCCGAAATTCGGGGGTACCTTCTTGGGGGGTCCAGATTATAAGGGAATCCCACCATGTGGGGGTCTCTATTAGGGGGTCCCTTGTTATCGTAGACCAAGATATGATCCCAAAACCACTCAACCCAAAGCCCTTGCCAGGTATGTGGTATTTCCGAGGGGGGCCCCGACTCGACCTTAAACCCTCAGCCCCCCACTCCACATGCCACAGCATAGAAGCAACTCCGAAACCGGACCCTTTTCCCCCAAACCCTAAACCCTAAACCCTAAACCCCAAACCCCAAGCCCTAAGCCCTAAGCCCTAAGCCCTAAACCCTAAACCCTAAACCCTAAACCCCAAGGCCTAAATCCTAAACCCTGAACCCGACTCCCAGGAACAGCACCAGGTCGTAGTTGTTCACCAAGAACACCAGGCCGGAATCCTGCCTAGGAGGCTGAAGAACTTCAGCCGGGCGGCTTACAGGGTTTCTATGAGGTTTATCAACCGGTTTATACAAGGTTTGTCAGGGTTTATGTAGGGTTTAGTATAGGGTGTACGTAGCTATGTTCCTAGGTTGCTTGTGGTTTTTGAATCGGCTTTTATGGGCCCCTTGTTGGTGAACCCTTCATCATAAGGCCTCGCATTGAGGAATCTATAAAGGGGCCTTTATTTCGGCCAAGCATGGTCAAAGAATCTAGGTCATGAACGCAATTACTATTTAGGATGCAGGGTGCTTGGGCATGTAGAGATTAGGGTTTTGGGTTTTGGGGGCTTTGGGGTGCTTCGGGGCCTAGGGCTTGAGAGCTCTTGGTCCCTGAGGGCTCAGGGCTCGGCACTCAACTAAGCCCCTCGTCAATCTCCCCTAAAACCCCCCAGAAACTCCAAAAACAATCTCCCAAACAACCCCCGAAACCTTTAAGCCATGTCTACCGGCGCCCGCTACGCCATGAAGACACTTCTCATGAAAGGAGGGTAGAGAAGTGTATTTCTAGCACCTACTTTAGGAACCCCAAACCTTTTGCAGGGTTCTTAACCTCTTATAGACTTTCCTAGGTAACATGGGTGGTTCTTCGTGGAAATACTAAGGGAGGGCAAGCGTCCAAAGCACCTCAAGGTTTAGGGTTTAGGGTTTAGGGTTTGGGGTTTAGGGTTTAGGGTTTAGGGTTTAGGGTTTAGGGTTTAGGGTTTAGGGTTGAGGCATCGGGTTTCTGTACACCACATCCCGCACGCAAATCAAGGCTCGAAGGCCCGAACCCTCGACCCTTGCACATGAAAAAACAACAGCCCTAAAAATCCGAAACCTTAACATATATATGTATACCCGAATACATATATACATATATATATATAACCCTTAAATATACGTATATATATATATATACACTTTTATATAAACCCCATGAACCCTGTAAACCCTAAAGACCCTCCAGACCCTCTAAACCCTGCAAACCCTATGAACCCCCACAATAGCCTCTAGCAAACCTCGAGTGCGGGCGAGGTGCCCATCCAACCTGTTGGCCATGGCCGACAGCAGCGTGCAGAACTCCTGCGCGCGAACGCGCGCACTCGCGGCGTGCTCTCTTGGGAAGTTCTCTCTACATCGGCCACATATGTAGTACTGCACCCATATGATAAGGAGACCTATGTAGTACTGCGCCCGTAGTATGATAAGGAACCACGCCAAAAAGGGAGCTCAATTTAGAGATCTACTCTCTCGGTTCAAGTTTTCGGAAGAGGCTTGAGGTTTCAGGCTGGATTGGAACTTGAGGAGTGGTATGAAATTTAAGAACATTCGAGATTGACTTCATGTGAGCTGCCGAAGATTTATTTCGAGTTGCCGACATGTGAGATAGGAGAAATCTATGAGTTGGTCAGACTATGCGTTGAAACTGTCGTATGAGTTGGCGCCTATGAGTGCAGCTCTCTAACCTAGGGGTCTCCTTCGGGATCTAAACTAGGGTCCCCTTCGGGGTGCTTATGAAAAGGGTGCCGTATTCTACAGGTGACAGAACAAGGGACCCTAATTTAGAGAACTGGTTGGCGTAGGGATCGTGGGCTTTGGGCTTATGGGTGTAGGGCTTTCAGGGCTTTGTAGGGTTCAGGGATCGTAGGGCTTGAACTTATAGGGCTCATGGGGCTGAAAATGGGGCTTGTATGGAGCTTCTATGGGGCTAATAGGGGCTTATATGGGCTTATATGGGGCTTACAGTATATGGGGCTTATGTGGCTTTTTTACGTGGGCTTCGCAGGGCGTATGGGACAGCGGGCACGGGCGTGCCCCAAAGAAAGCCTTCCCCCGCCCAAGGCCGCGCTCCTGCCGCATGGCGGCCAGAGGCTGCTGCCTCAGTGCCAAAGAAATCGCGCAAGGAACCCGAAAGACGAATTCAAAGTTCAGCAAAACCCGGAGCCCTGAACCCCACAGCGGTTTAGGGCTCAAACGGATCCTAAAAAGAGCTTGTAGGGGCTCGGAGAGGCCTTAGACACCTGGGGTCCTGGGGCCCCTGCAGCGTGTCGGGCAGGCCACTGTCTTCGCTGGAGCTCAGGAAGTAGAGCGACGCGGCTAACTCCGCGAACCTGCCCAAAGGACCCTGCCATACTCTGGCAAATGATTCGGGTTTGGGGTTTAGGGTTCAGGGTTTTTGGTTTAGGGTTTCGGGTTTAGGGTTTAGGGTTTTGGGAACCTATTTGGAGAGTCATGGGTATGTCTAAGTAGGTTACCTATGCTTGCAGCCTTTTTTAGGCGCTTATCACCCCACTTGCAAGTACCCCCGCAAGTAAAGGGCATGAGGTTCTTCAGGGGCTTAGGGTCTGGAGATCTGCATGGTGTATTTCCCAACATGTCAGTACCCTTAATGCACCCCCCCAAATACTACGCTCCTTACTATCGGAAGGCCTCTAAACCCTAAACCCTAGCTTGAGAAATACCCCCAAACTTTCTGGCATGGAAGGTTAGGTCTCGATTGAAATCTTTAACGCCAGTCTCCCGATGGGCCACTTGCATCTTTGGGACCGCCTGTACGATGTATGGATAATGATTTATCTATATTCCTACCTACTATCTATAGGAAAATAAAAGTAACTATATATATATATATATACGAAAATATAGTTCTTATTAGTCTAATATTGTTTTTGCTACTTCTATTAGCAGTACTACTGCTATGGTTACTCCTATTATTGCCAACTGACTAGTACCCTTCTTCCGTCATCCACCATGAGCTAACAACGACCACAGCCTGCCAGCCTCCTCGTCACCAAGTGGGGATTGTTGTTTGTCGGTGCTTGCAGATTCTGCTGGTAGGCCTGGCGACGTGAGCAAATGCCAAGCAAAAGCCTACAGCCCGACCCCTGAACCGAACCCTGACCCAAAGCAAGCCTTAAACCTCTCAAGCCTTCAACGCTCACCCTTGTTTAACCTCAGACCCGAGACCCGAAACCCTATTTCGACCTCAAGCTCTAAACACGAAACCCCTAAACCCTTCTAACACTAAACCCTAAACCCTAAACCCAAACAGGAGCCTTCCGGAGGGACACGATGTTGGCGTCCAGCACCACGCGAAGCCTAGGCCTGGAGGACAGCGGATTAGGGTTGAGGGTTTGGGGTTTAGGATTTAGGGTTCGGGGCTTAGGTTGAGGATTGTAAGGCTTCGGGCGCGGGTTTGAGGCGTTGGGACTTTAGGGCTGCGGGTCTGTAGGGGTTAGGGCTTGGGGTTGGAGGTTGGCTGATTTTGGGCCTTTAGGGTTTGAGGGTGAGGGGCTCAGGAGAGCAACAAAGAAAGGACAAGGTCTAGGATGCACAGCTTGAGGGTTAATTCAATTACTTATTAGGGGGCGAGAGAACTTGGGTTTTTGGTTACTTTATAAGGGAACCTTGAACCAAAAAAAGTGAAAGGGCACCCCTGAGCCACCAAGCCTAAAGGCCGAAGCTACGAAGGCGGGTGCCCGCGCCAAAGGAGAAGCTGCAGGGCGTCCAAGTAGGAGTCTAGGCAGCTGACCTGTGCAGAGAGCTAGGCTTTGGGATTTAGGGGTTTACGGGTTTAGAGGTTGAGGGGTTTAGGGGTTTAGGGGTTAGGGGTTTAGGGGTTAGGGGTTAGTAGGCTTTTGGGGGGTTTAGCCTACTTGCGGTTTAGAGATTGGGTCTTGTCAGCTTTGGGTTTTTCTGTGGCTACGGTTTAGGGCTTTGGGGCGTGGGGGCTTTTGCTGCTTGCAGGTTTTTGGGTTTCGGGTGCAAGACAGAAGCTACTGGGTACCAATAGACACGACTTGACAACTTGACAACATCCCCTTTGTTAACTAAAAAAAACCTCGTGTTGAAGATGGAGGCAGACTGTCAGCCGCATGTGTGAGCGTGTGTGTGTGTGTGTGTGTGTGTGCGCGCTTCCTGCTCCTCTTCTTCTTCTCTGAAGGCTTGGCGGGCGAACGCCCAAGCCTACCACGAGATGCTAGGACGCGGTCACGGTGCTCTGCCTCACTCTCTCTCTCTCTCTCACTCTCGCTCTCTCTCCTTCTCTCGCCCTCTCTCTCTCGCTCTCTCTCTCTCTCTCTCCTCCAACATGCATGTACCCTGGTTCGCCACGAAACCTAAGCATAAACTTACGCAAACCTACACATCCGGGGCTTTCGTGTGCACTGCCAACAGACCCCAAGCAGTGTAAGACCGCCAGACTGCAGATGTCATGTACGACTACTGAAGCACGACACATCGCGCCCGGGTCCGAAGTCGACCTCGCAAATCCCTCAGAAACCGAGAGCCTCCTCATGTCATGCGGAACCCTCTTTTTTGCAATTAGGGTAGATTTGCTCTATCGCAACATTGCCAAGGAGGGGGGACTCTAACTTGGAACCCCCCAAACTTAAGGAGTTGCGGCTGCTTGACCCTAAACCAGCCTTACGCTGCTGCATGCGCTTCCTGTAGAAGTCCACGATTCGGACCATCAGCAACAGGCCCACCTCAGGGTTATGGGATGTTTTATTACTTGGGGGTTTTTCAGGGTTTGGGGTCGGGTTCAGGATGCGGGTTTCGGGTTTAGAGTTCATGGGGTTGATGGGGTTTAAGGGACATCACCCGCTAGCATCACCCCAAAACTCGCCAAAAAAGAACCAACCAATGACAACGCTAAACCTTTAGACGATCCTGCTTGTGGTAACCATGAGCAAAAACACGCGCACAACCAAAACACTTCTGAGCTTTTTGTCGTCACCTGATGTTCTGCGCACGTTTTGTGTGGTCATGATTGTAGAATGCGCCCCAACAGCGTGCTAGTTTTGTGCTTCCTGTCAGCAGCTTCAGCTGCAGTTTGTGCTCCGATTTGTGATGTCTCTGGTGTTGTGCTTGGGGTCGTGTTTTGCAGTTTGTGCTTTGAATCTTGTGCCCTGTGATACGCCTGGCTGTCTGGCTCTGTGCGACTTAGGGCTTTAGAATGAGACACATTCTAGAATGCTTCTGGATTCTGTTTTGTGCCGACCTTCTTTGTAGTTGTGGTGTGTAAATAGTTGTTGTGATCTGCAGTTTGTGCTCCGATTTTGTGGTGTTGCTGCTTGTGTAGACCCTAAACCCCAAACCCAACATCCTGCCAAGGGGCCGAGTCCCAGCAGTTGCCAAGAAAGCCCTCCAAGGAGTCGAGGAAGTACCTTATAAAACACGAAAGCAGGGTTCCCAAGTAGGTTTAGGGTTTAGGGTTTAGGGTTTCGGGTTTAGGGTTTAGGGTTTAGGGTTTAGGGCTTATGGTTTCGGGTTAGGATTTAATGGGCTGGAACCGAACGAACCGAACAAGCAAAAGCAAGCAAGCAACCAGGCATGACTGGGGATCCAAGAGAACCAGCAACACACCCCTTTAAACCTTTCAACCCGCACAGCTTCTACCCCTTGACCTTGAACACCACAAGGTCCCGAAAGCTCAAAATCCTTTTACAGCGGCGAGGATGTACAAGTTACGGGGGTGGGCTTGTCGAGGAGAAGGGTTTCGACATCGCCCGTACTTGTAAATACAGTATAAGGTGTTCTAGGGTTTAGGATTAGGGTTTAGGGTTTAGGGTTTAGGGTTTAGGATTAGGGTTTAGGGTTTAGGGTTTAGGGTTTAGGGTTTAGGGTTTAGGGTTTAGGGTTTAGGGTTTAGGGTTTAGGGTTTAGGGTTTAGGGTTTAGGGTTTAGGGTTTAGGGTTTAGGGTTTAGGGTTTAGGGTTTAGGGTTTAGGGTTTTAGGCTTTCAACCCGCTGCTGGAAGCACTGAGAGCGAGGCTGCGTCGTCTTTCCGAACACTTCCTGGAGCCCGTCCACTCATTAGGTTTAGGGTTTAGGGTTTAGGGTTTAGGGTTTAGGGTTTAGGGTTTAGGGTTTAGGGTTTAGGGTTTAGGGTTTAGGGTTTAGGGTTTAGGGTTTAGGGTTTAGGGTTTAGGGTTTAGGGTTTAGCGTTTAGGGTTTAGGGGTTAGGGCTTAGGATTTAGGGTTTAGGGTTTAGGGTTTAGGGCTTCGGGTTTAGGGTTTAGTTTTTAGGGCGTTGGGTTTTGGTTGTAGGGTTGGGGGTTTCGAATTTAGGGTTTAGGGCTTATAGGGCTCTTCGTCCCAAGTAGCCACGAACAGGCCGTGGTCGCCCTTGGTATCGAAGAAGTCGTTCAGGAAAAGGAACTCGGACGTTGCCGTGTCCTTCGAGAACTGAGCGGAGAATGGGTCTATGAGGATAGGGTTAGGGTTTAGAGTTTAGGGTTCGGGGTTTAGGGTTTAGGGTTTGTTTGGGCTTAGGACCTAGGGTTTAGGGTTACAAGGTTGAGGGCTTTCCGGGCTTTTGGGCCTTCATCTTCATGGTTTTTAAGGTTCTGGGCTTGCAGGGCTTGTAGCGCTTCTGGGGTTTCTTGGGCATATGGGGCTTACGATTCAGGAACCCTAAACCCTAAACCCTAAACCCTAAACCCTAAACCCGAGCAAAAAAGTTCGAGGTCCATCAGCAGCATTTGGTGGCTGCGGAAGAGCTGCTCATGGTAGTACTTGATCTTGTCCTGCCGGAGAAATCCCGCGCAGTGCACTACGGGTTAGGGTTTAGGGTTTAGGGTTTAGGGTTTAGGGTTTAGGGTTTAGGGTTTAGGGCTTAGGGTTTAGGGTTTAGGGCTTAGGGTTTAGGGTTACGGTATGTCCTCCTTAGCAGAATGCACCGTTCCTCAACCCGAAACCCCCAAAGCTTCAAGGCTTGGAGCTTTGGGCTTAGCTGGTTCTTAGTAGGGAATGAAACAATTAAAACAAGGCCCTACATAACCCCTTAAAGGTGAAATATATATATATATATATATTTATTTATTTATTTATTTATTTGTTTATTTTTAAATTTATATTTATATATAAGGCCCTCATTCTCATTCCCTGCTAAGATATGGCTACCTAGAGACTGGGTGTGTGAATGTTTCGGGGGCTTGGTGTACCAGAACGGGGGCCTGGGCTTAGGGTTTAGGGGTTGACGGTTGAGGGTTTCGGCTAGGTGTGATGTTGTAAACCCTAACCCCCCAAACTGCCCGAAACTGCCCGAAACTGCCCTAAACTGCCCTAAACTGCCCTAAACCCCTTAAACCCCCTTAAACCCCCTCGTGACCCTAAACCCCTAGACCCCTAAACCCCTAAACCCCTAAACCCCTAAACCCCTAAACCCCTAAACTCCTAAACCCCTAAACTCCTAAACCCCTAAACCCCTAAACCCCTAACCTGCCGCGTGAGGGCCTTGTTGGTGTGGGCAATGATGGGATCTCGGTCAAGTTGCTCCAGGATGGCATCTCGGCCTGGCTCCCCGTTGCTGCATTCCCACAAAGGGTAGCCCGAAACCCTAAACCCTAAACCCTAAACCGTGGAACCCTCGAGAATACGCCATGATGTGACAAGGAACCGCTCGTGGGGTTGGCTTTGAACCGGCTGCGCGTAATAGGATTAGGGCTGAGGGTTCCATCCTTATCCCAGCGAGCTAGGTTAGAGCTCGAGCGAGCGAGCGATTTTTGCCCTGCTGTGCAACATCTTCTGCCGGGCTCTGCTCTGAGCCATTTCTCGGGGGTGAACTGAGATTTCCCTAAGGAGGCTTTCTCGAATCCTGCGCAGCTTGTCAAGGCCAGCGCGGCGTCCACATTCCAGGGGAGAATGCGCCGTGCCGCGCACATGGCCATGCCGCGCACTGAGGAGTTCATGGGCCGAGCTCGGTGGTAGCCTCCTGGGCCGAGCTCGGTTGGCAACCTCGACTTTCGCACAGCAACTTGCCTGGAGAGGAGCCAAGAAACGTGTTCAGGACGACCTCGTTTGATGCGCCGGCAGCTCTTCCATGAGCATCACAGGACTCGACAGAGGCCGTCGGGACGCAATGAAGATGGCGCGGGTGTTGCCAGACTGGTGAGCCCAATCAGTCTCAAACTGCTCGTGGTTTGGTTGGGTCATTGGGACGTATGCATACCTTAGTTCAGTGGTTCTTAATTATATCCTTAGAGGTTTTGCCTAGGAAAGAATTCAGCACCGGGTTCTCAATTTCCCTTCTAAGAACGAGTAGCTACTAAGGTCCCCCATTTGATCCCTTGAAAGGTCGCACAGTGGAATCGAAAGGTACCCCAGTTCCCGAATTCAGCGCTAAGAACTAGCCCTAAACCCTAAACCCTAAACCCTAAACCCTAATCCCAAACCCTAAACCCTAAACCCTATATACTATAAACCCTATAAACCCTAAAAGCCCTAAAAACCCTAAAAACCCTAAACACTCCCACAGCAAGGTACGGGAAGAATCGCTTCAGCAGCATGAACACGTCCTCCCTGCGCAGGCGTCGCGCGTGGCCGCGGAGAGACATGGAGTCTGACTCGACGGACTCGACGATGTCGACGACCTCCTTGGGTTGCTTGTTTAGGGTTAGGGTTTAGGGTTTAGGGTTTAAGGTTTAGGGTGTAGGGTTTAGGGTTTAGGGTTTAGGCTTATAAGGTTTGGACTAAAGGTACTTGGAGCTTCATGGGTGCTTAGAAGTAGGGGTATGGGTAGGGTAACTATGGTTAATCCTTACTTAGGGCCTACTTAGAAGTACCCATGAACCTCCAGGTGGGATAACAAGCAGGCGCATAGCAAATAAAGCACGGAGTTTCCGTTTTCTACAGTACAGAACATTGGTAACTTCAGTCTAAGTTCCTTAGAAGCAACCTAGACTCAGTCGACACAACCGTCTCCATGAGCAGAAAGTCAGACACCAGCGGCGCCACTCTTTCCAGGAACTTCTCTGGCTCTTGCAAATGGTAGAGGAGCCCATAACCTGGCTCAGGAGCTTAGGCTTGGGCTTAGCTAGGTTTAGGGTTTAGGGTTTAGGGTTTAGGGTTTAGGGTTTAGGGTTTAGGGTTTAGGGTTTAGGGTTTAGGGTTTAGGGTTTAGGGTTTAGGGTTTAGGGTTTAGGGGTTTAGGGGTTTAGGGTTTAGGGTTTAGGGTTTAGGGTTTAGGGTTTAGGGTTTAGGGTTTAGGGTTTAGGGTTTAGGGTTTAGGGTTTAGGGTTTAGGTTAGGGTTTAGGGTTTAGGGTTTAGGGTTTAGGGTTTAGGGTTTAGGGTTTAGGGTTTAGGGTTTAGGGTTTAGGGTTTAGGGTTTAGGGTTTAGGGTTTAGGGTTTAGGGTTTAGGGTTTAGGGTTTAGGGTTTAGTGCTGAGAAACTTATTTGAAGGTACCACAACTAACCAAATCCGAACGTTCATTTGCGTATCTACCCGAGGTTTCTATGGAAGTTCCTATACAGCAACCCAGTAACAGAAGACGATGTCCCACGTCCCCTGTGGCATGGACTCTTCCAGATCCATCGACAGTACCTCGACTTTGCCCGGGTCGGGAAAGAGATAGCCAAGGGCCAACTTCTTGCGGAGCGCGATGACGTTGGTCTGCCGTGGCTCCACCAGCGTAACGAAGCAGCCGCGATCTGTGAAGAAATGTGTCAGGTCCCCTTGTCGTGCACCAAGCTCGAGTACCTAGGGGGGTGCACAGCAACCTACTTGAAGCTCCATGGGTACTTATCAGTATGGCTATAAGTATCCTAAGTAAGGTTATGCCCATAGTAAGCCCACTTATAACCCATAGTTACCGCACTTATAAACCCACTTATAAGTCCCATGAACCTCCAAGTAGCCACGAAAGGCAACCCCCCCCCCCCCCCAAAAAAAAAAAAAAAGTAATAATAATAATAATAAATAAGGGAACCCGACCCCGCAAAAAAAGAAGGGAGGAAACGGGTACCATAGGGGTTGGAGTAATGCTCATGGTCTTCCCTTATGGTCCATTTCTAAGTCTAGTCCACGATAATAACCCCCCAACAAAAACATGATTTGTTGATTATTATATTTTTGTTCGTTATTATTATTATTGTTATTTAATTATGTGTATTGCTATTGTTTTTATGATGCATATGTCTATTCGGGCGCCTATATTACCACTTGGTCTCCTCGGCCTTGCGATTCCACACCGGAAGTGCCAGCGACGCGAGGTGCTCCAGCCTGCGCGCCGTGAAGCGCTGGTAGATCTGCTCCAAGCCGAGCTGCTGATGCAGAGACTCCTGAACCCGAACCGCTGGACCCCTTTCCCTTTCTAGAAGCTGGTGTATCTCTGTCTTATCCGATGGTCCCTCCTAAGAAGAACCACCCCTAAACCCTAAACCCTAAACCCTAAACCCTAAGCTTCGACATGGTCTAGACTCAGTGAGGATCTCAGGATGGTTGTCGTAGGCCACGAGCCGGGTGTCGCAGCACATCTCTTGCATGTAGTACAGCCCATCGAAGCAGGCCGCATTGGGCCGGAGCCCACCTAGACCCAAGTGTAACCCCAAGAATGGGGTTTAGGGTTTAGGGTTTAGGGTTTAATCCGAGCTTCTGATTAGTGGGTGGGGGGCCCCCCCCCCCCCCCTCACAATAAGGAATGCAGGGTTCCGCAATAGTTGGACCGTGGCCCTGTATTGATTCTCTATTAAAAACAATACGATGCAGATCCCTGAGGTGCTGTAGCTTTGCGTCTCCGCAAGCAAAACAAGAAGCCTGCCGACAGATTTTTGAACCCCCCCAAAAAAAATTCCTTTAAATGTGGGGGGTTTGTCCCATACGAAATCCACCCTAATGGAAAGTAGTCTTCCGGCGGGCTTCCGGCCAAAAAAAAATTCTTTAAATGTGGGGGTATTAATTAATCAGATGCTCGGATTAGGGTTTAGGGTTTAGGGTTTAGGGGTTTAGGGTTTAGGGTTTAGGGGTTAGGGGTTAGGGGTTAAGGGTTTAGGAGTTCGGGGTTCGGGGTTAGGGGGTAGGGAATAAAAAGGGGTACCCTTTTTGGTCTCAAGGTGCTTATATATGTATATATATATATATATAAGGGACCCTTAAAACCCAAAAAAAAGGGGGAATAAGCACCCGCTGGGTCCCAGCCGCAGCAGAGCTTCCTCGAAGTGCAGAAGCCAGCATAGCAGCCCCAGCAGTTGCGGAAGATCCCATGGGTCGCACCCAGCCACCCCGACACGCGCAGCGTCTTGTTGCTCCGGTCTCCCTGGCGCCCCCTGGGGAAGCGGATGCTCCCTCGGAAGTAGTCAAAGTGACGGAAGGACTGCACAAGAACCGCCTCCTGGGGCGACACGCTCGGAAGCTTCGGAGACCCGGCTACGAGGCCGAGCAGGAGAAGCAGGCCCTGCACGTCTTGAAACATGGTGTCGGAGAGCCATGAGCACGACAGCAAGTTCGGCTTGGGTTTGCGGGTCGGTGCTGCTGCTTCAGGGGCTGCGCTCTGGGAATGGCTTTCTGCTGATGAGAATCGCAACTTGCGATTAAGCAGGTGGAGGCGGGGACCATCAAGTTCTGCACACAGCTATCGCGCGAGGTATACAGCTGGCGGCACGAATTTGAGCAAGAACCCATTGGTAAGTCTTACGGCCTGCACTAAACTTTAAGCCCTGAACCCTAAACAATGAACCCTCAAGCCTAAATCCTACACCTTGAACCCCTTAACCCTACATCCTCATCTCTTCAAATAAAAGGCCTCAGCTTCGTCGTTTCTGCATGATGAAGCCCTTCCTTTTGATCGCTAGCGTCAGGTCTGAGCAAGGCCACTTAGGCAGCCACCCTTAAAGCGAGTAGCTATGAACAAGCTCTGTCCAGTGCTCTGGCTCTGCCAGAACCAACCCTAAATCCGAAGCCATAGGTCACTTGAGCCTTATCAGTCTTACAGGTCTTACAAGCCTTATGTAAGTCTCATAAGTCTTATATGCCATATATGTCTTATCCCACTTAACAGTCTCATTGAAGCCCTAAACCGAACTAAACCCGGACAGCCCTGGCACGAATTCGCACTGGAGATTACGGATGCCTTTTGGCATCCGACTGTCGGCTCCCTGGGTTCTCAAGCCGAGAAACACAGGGAGACCAGAGAAGATTTTCTGGTGTACCGGTGCTGAAGGAAGAGTGGATTTCAAATTTGGGTTTGAGGGTTTACGGGAATGGTAAAACCGGGACTCCTGATGTCGGCACCGACTCCTGACATCGGCAGCATGAACTGCTTGGCAGCGCAGTAGCCATATATTACAATAAGGGCACCCCTTTTTGGCGGTAGCTACTGCTGAAAGGGAACCCATACCCCACAAAGGGCAAAAAGGGCGCTACTCAGCTGCCAAGACTGTGCTCCAGCAAGGGCAGCTGCAGCCTATCTACGTCGCGAAAGGCAGCCGCAATTGATGGCTTGGCCGAAGTCTACACAATGATGCTGCACCCGCTTTTCTGGTATGGCACTCTTAAAGCCCCCCTAAACATATTCCTGAATATGAGCCTCGTAAACCCAAGAAGGGAGAACAAAATATCCCAAGGCCCTGCCTAGTTTTGTGGAGTCTGCGATACTGCAAAGCTTTCCGGCCTTGTTCAGCGTCCTAAGTTTTTTGGGGGTCGCTGTCACTATGGAAAGTGTCTTTCGGAGGGCATGCTTTCAGATCTGTTTTTGCTGGCGCAGGCTTTCAAGGGCCTTGGATTGCGGTTCTTGGGGCACAGTCTTCTAGTAACGTACATGACAAGACACGTTAAACGCGAAGAGAATTTATTTAATACAAGAGACGTTAAACAAAGATAACAGCCTCGAATTTCAGAGCAACACCCTTTAATCAGGGTTAAACAGTATGGGATACAGTCTTGAATTGGATAATGTTTCTTAAGGAGCAATCGGTTGTTTTTAGCGTTTCTCCCTCCGTTTTAAGAACGTTTGAAACTTCTGGGGGGTTTGGGGTCTTGGGGTTTTGGGGGGATAGGCATGATCGTCTCAAACTCAGGCCAACCTTCAGGAGTAGGAAGACTTCAGTCTGTTGGAGCACACGGAAGCATGAAAGCTTCAGATGCCCGCAAGTTCCTTCCGAGAGGGCTCTCAAATTTGCATGTTGAGTTTAGGGTTTAAGGTTTAGGGTTTAGACGGTCAGTTTTCTAAGTTATGGCCCTTTTTGGGGCACCCTGAATCAGAGTCTCGGAGGTGCCTGTAGTGAGGGTAGGCAGGGGGGTGCCGACTAAACCGAGTGCAGCATCCGACTCTTTGAGAAGCAGCGGGCACTTCATCGCCAACTCCTCGAAGAGCTAAAAACTCCTAAACTCCTAAACTCCTAAACTCCTAAACTCCTAAACTCCTAAACTCCTAAACTCCTAAACTCCTAAACTCCTAAACCCTAAACCCTAAACCCTAAACCCCAAACCCCAAACCCTAAACCCTAAACCCTAAACCCTACACCCAGGCCCTATGGACCGGGCCGTCTTCTGGAAGTCTCGGAAGACTTTGTCCTGAATTAGCACTCCAAGCCACAGGGCTTGAGGCTTGGAAAAGGAGGAGTGCTAGCATCAGCGATGCCAAACGCTACCTTTCTTGGGGAAGACGGGGCTTAAGTGGGGTTTACAGTGGGGTAGCTATGGTTGCAACCTCAACTGGCGCACTTATAACCAGTCCCATGACTCTAAACTCTAAACCCTAAACCCTAAACCCTAAACCTTCAAGTAGGGCTTAGGCTCAGAGCTGCTCCGGTCGGCACAGATGTGGCCCGGAGTCACATCGTTGGAGGTCCATTTCGCGGCGTACGGAGCAAATCTCCACTGCCATCGACAAACCTCGGAGGGTTTAGGGTTTAGGGTCGGTTTAGAGGGTAGAGGGTTTAGGGATTAGGGTTTAGGGTTTAGGGTTTAGGTGCAACAGACCACTACACCCAGTGTCTAGTGATTGGATCGTAGAGACCTAAACCCTAGAGCCCTAAAAGGCTCAGATGCTTCAGGGTTTGGGGTTTAAGGTTTCTTGGGCTTGCGGTTGATTTTTATGGGAATCTTCAACCTTCCACGCTACTTGGATGTTCATGGGTACTTATAAGCAGGTTTATGGGTTTTGGGCTTTTGGGGTACTGAAGTAGGTTTATAAGCACCCTAACAAAGGGTATTACCAGAATGACCCTGCTTGTGACCCTACTTGCAAGTACTTTGAACCTCCAAAGTGAACCCCCAAACCCTAAAACCTAAACCCTAAACCCCAAACCCCAAACCCTAAACCCTAATTAAAGCCTAAACCCTATATCCCTACACCCTCAAACCCGAGTGGCCAGACCGACCCTAAACCAGCCCCTAAACCCTAAACCCTAAACCCTAAACCCTAAACCCTAAACCCTAAACCCTAAACCCTAAACCCTAAGCCGGGGCGCTCAGCTCCGACTGCTTCGACGTCAGCGACGGGGCCGCCAACACGAGCAAGGAGGCCAGGCAGACCAGAAAGGCGGCCCCGGTGCTAAGAACTGCATTCCTGAAAAGGGTTTAGGGTTTAGGGTTTAGGGTTTAGGGTTTAATTAGGGTTTAGGGTTTAGGGTTTAGGGTTTAGGGTTTAGGGTTTAGGTTTTAGGGTTTAGGGTTTAGGGTTTAGGGTCCGCCGACCCTGGCGGCGTGTTGGATGGGAAAAGGAGGTGAAAACCTCCCTCTTTCCCTCCTTACCCCCCCAAAACGCGGCGGGGGGGGTAGAGGGGGGTACCCGGGCAGCTTTTCCATGGAGGGCCAGGCCACCCACACCGCATAAACTCACGGACCATAGTCGGTTTCGCACAGGACATAGGGGCCCTTTGGGGAAAAATCCACCCCCCCGTTGCCCCCCCCCACCCCCCCTACCCCCCCCCCTCCTGGTTGCTGGGCTCGGCCTGTTCAACAATTGATGGGGCTGCCCTCAACTTTTGGATCCTTTGAGCTGACGAGCGCGTTTAAACCTTTCAACTATGCTCCAGCGGGGTCGGCGGCTTGAGCCGGAGGCTCTTAAATTTAAAAGTTTAGGGTTGAGGGCATGCCACAAGACGGAAGTGCCTTTGGTGTGCGCCCTCCTCGCCCCCCGCCCCTGGACCCTCGATCTTGAAACTGTCCGTACCGGCAACTGATTTGAAAGGCGTGAGGCAGAAGCAGAAAATGAACTTTCGACGTGGAAAAATATGATATACATATATATATATATATATATATATATGCTACCCCCCCCCCCAGCGACCTACCCTTTTTAGGCCTTCTTAGGCCTTTTTAACAAAAAACAACAAACAAGGCCCAAAAGTCGCGTAGTTAATCACCGGGTAATGAAGGACAGTTACTGGGACACCCACCTCACAGACCCCGATAAGCCAGCATTTGGAAGAATCTACATTTTGAATCTGAAGCGGACAATGCTGTTTTTAGATGTTTAGATCAGTGTTGTTCTATGCAAATTGTGCGTTTGAATTAATGTTTTGTTGAGCAACTAATTTATTTATACAATTGTGTTTGTACGAGGCAAAGTATTAATCAAATAGTGAAACATTTTTCTTGGTTCTATGCGAATTTAGCTACTAGAGTAATTATTAAGCAAAGAGCCCAATTTGACTCGAGTGAATACCATTTAAGGGAGCATACTCAACCAAGATACGAAATAGACACCATTCTCAACCAAAATATGGCAAAGTGTGCGTTTAAAGTGCAAATACTGTATTTATACAACTGTGCTTGTACTAGGCAAAGTATGCTCTCTGAAAAGTCCACTGAAATACCTTATGTTTACATATTCATGAATCGTTTTTATTTTTGAAATAATCATTTTTTTTAGCTACTAGAGTAATTATTAAGCAAATAGCCCAATTTGACTCAAGTGAATACCATTTAAAGGGCCATACTCAACCAAAATACGAAATAAGCACCATATACAACCAACATATGGCAAAGTGTGGTTTAAAGGGCAAATAGTGCTTTGTTGAGCAACTAATGCATTGAAACAGTTGTGTTTATACCAGGCAAAGTATTATTGAAATACTATCTGCAAAGTCAAATGAAATTTTTTTGAAGTATTCATTCTATGCGAATTTAATTACTAGAGGAATTCTTAAGCAAATAGCCCAATTTGACTCAAGTGAATACTATTTAAAGGACCATACTCAACCAAATACGAAATAAACACTTGCGGAAATGGAAACGGTTCTACCTACATAACAATGAGACAAAGATTGCTGAAGTATTCACTAAAGACCACTTGTATACTATGTCTGAAAAGCACAATTTGCATAGGCAAGCTTAAAAATGCACAATAATGGAAATCGGTTCTACTTACATAACGATGAAACAAAGATGTCTGAAGTATTCAAAAAAGACCACATATATACTATGCTTGAAAAACGCAACTTGCACAATCAGGCTTAAAAAATGCAC